TTTAAATTAATGCACCAAAAATGCCTTCATAAAAATCATCCATCAGATCAAAGATAGAAAGGACAACACTGCATCCACTTCTTGTTTAATCAGTATCCTAGACTGTAAAAGAAAAAGATCAGCACTGAAATGATTCAGATAATTTTAACAGATTTTATTCTTTGTTTATCTAGAACTTATCTTCTATGTTCTGGATTTGTTGTGTGTAGTAAATTCAAACAACTAATATGTAATCAAGACAGCAGCTCTGCATGAAAGGAATATAATAAAACACTGAAAGGGCATGAAGATGGTTGCATTAAAAATAATCTCCAAAATGACTGTCTGCTAAGTAGTAACATATGGCCAGGTACAAAAAAAACCTGCCAAGTCCACCTGAGGAAAAAAAAAATAATCCAGCTGATTGTATCCAATGCTCTGATCATGCAGCCAATTGAGTCTTAATTGTAAGACTCTCTTATGAGCAGTCTTCAACGTAGTGCAAAATCTGAAAATGGCTGTGAAGAAATAAAATGAAAATGAAATAAAAGACTGATGGTGCACAAGCAGCGGTTTCACAGCCATAATCCTAAAAAAAAAAAAACACAAAAAACCAAACACTGGCACTTTAATATCGAGCAAAAATGTGTGTGTGTATGTGTGTGTGTGTGCGTGCGTGCGTGTGTGTGTGCGTTTTTTTTTTTCTCTTTGCCACTGCTCGGTTGGAACAAATATATTCAGATTTTGTGTAGAATGGTGAAATTATGAACATTTTCTCTGTTTAACATGTTCACTCAACAGCCTGCAGATTAGTGCGCTAAGTTTTCTAGGCCAGTAAAAGGTAACTTACACTTTACTCTGCTGCAGAAATGTTCTGTACATAAATGTAGGTTAGAATAATTACAGCCCAAATGTAAAGGTGAGCAATGTATTTGTCCAGGAGACGATTTTTGTATAGGTATTTCTAGTTGTATATGAACTCTAGTAAATATTTGGAAAAAAAAAATAATTATACGGATATGTACTTTGATTTTTTTTTTTTTTGACCTGTTATGAAATGTATTTGTGGGGAAATATTTAACCACGGTTTTTTCTTATTTGTCTTTTGTTTGTTTGCCTTGTATTTAGGGGATCTCTCATTAGGCGCACTTTGAATTTATTTGTATGGTTTGAAAATCATTTACTGTTTACCCGCTCGTTTAATTTAAGTAAGCATGTTGTAAAGTGATTTTTAATTTTACAATGATGATTTTCCTCTTTTTCTCTCGCTCTCTTTCTCTCACTGAGAATGGCTTTTTATGTGAGCCACTCAATAAAGTCAGTATGAATTCAGAAGCAACTTTATCGACTCGGTTTTCTTTTCTCCATTGTTGAGTCGATAAAATCAATTTATTCTATTAAAAAAAACACACTAAAATGACGATTTATCATTTTAAATGTGCAAATGTTAATGTTGAAATATTTTATGTGTCAGATTTTGTGACGTTCAACTGGTTGCATTAGCTGATTTTTGTTGTTGTTTTGTTTTGCTCAAACCAAAGCAGGAAAAGTTGTGCAGCGAAAAACAATTATTTGACTTCCAAAGATGAAGTAAATACTTGGCATCTATTCAATATTTGAATTAGACAGAAAATGATTTTCTGCGTAAATATTTGAATCAGGCAGAAATTGATCGGTTTTAAACTTTTAATCGACTCACTATATATATATATAAACCTAAAACCCTTGTGGAGTTTAATCACTGCACTCAATGCGGAAAACAAGATTTTGCCACTTTAAATCAAAACCTTTATTTAATATTGCATTTTGCTCTTCTTATAATTGCTCTCTTTGTTACATTTTCCTTTTTTTCTGGAACATGTTTTTTTTTTTTTCAAGCGCTCAGCAGATTAAAATAAAACATTCAATTTTGTTAAGCACGTTCAGCTGCCAGCAGCTATGGAGACGGTTTTAGTTTTTATGAGTAAATATTGAAATCGTTTAACACAGCCTATATCCCTAAAAAAATCTCACATGAAGAATTTACTAAAACAGTGTTTTTTTCTTACTTGTTATTAGCCCGATGCTATTAATTGTGAGCTACAATAAACTCTACGAAACTAAGCGTAAATCCACCATCTTTTTAGAGAACGAAACGGTCTCTTGATAACTGTTTAAAATGCATTTAGCCAATTTGATTATTTCGATCTTATGCTGTGCCGTACTCTGGTTTATTTGCAATGCAAAATTAGAGGTGTGCGTGTGTGTGTGTGTTCAAAACTTTCCTTTTTATTTAGCATGATTTC